TAATTCGAAGATGAGGAAGATATGAGAGGAAGCGATGTTTGGATAACTCCTTTTGATTAATTTCAGGTTTTCTGGGCCTTCGGTTTTCTTGATTTTTCGAATTTTTTGACTTTTTATTGTTTTGGTTTCTTCTCGGTCAAATTTGACACGTTGAGAAGTTTCCAGATAGGCGCTTGAATTGTCAAAATTATTCTCATACTGTCAGCAAATTTTCAAAATTTTAAATGATACTATCAAAACCACCAGACAGTTGATGTAGAAATTCCATGTCAGTGATGTTACCAGGATGAGCAAGCACGCCGCACATAACTGTGCTTAGGCTGGTCGATTCTGAGCTATTTGCTACCAGTTGACTTGTTCGATGTACGTGCATCATCTCTTTGGAAGCCGTCCGAGTTGTCGTTTAAATTAAGATCGTATGTATTAATCGAACAAATAAATTTCCTGCTTATACTTACTTTAACCAGTTGCCAGTGCTAAGGTGGGGCGAGAGTTCTAACACCGGATCTGGATTTACAGGTTATTATTCTTACAGGCGACAGATTATTCTTACTGGAGAGACAGGAGAAGGAGGAGGAGAGGAGTGCGGAGTTGGCTGTGCCTGGGTTAATTGAACGGACATTTTGGCGGTAGAGTTTTTTCATCTTTATTTATTTCCTGAAAAAGATAATAGCTTTTTTGAAGTTTTTTTGAAGTTACTTTTGGTTTTTTTCGGCCTCTTAAAAAATTTTTTTGGGGAAAAAATTAAATTTTTTGGAGAAACCGAAAAATTGGTAAAAATCATACATTTCTGAAATTGTTGGTTCCCTGTTAGATGAAAATTAGTTAGCTAAAACATGCTTCTAACAGCGAAAGACCCGGCGGAAATGGTACTTTTAATAGCCTTAGATAAAAATAGTTGATGACTGCGCAAGTTTTTTGCTCAGTCAAAATTTGTGAATCTATGGAAAATCGGGAATTCTTCATCCTTTTCTCTCATCACTTTGCGTCAGATTGCCTTTTTCTGAAGAAAAACATTCTATGTGTTGTAAAGGGAAGCAGTTAATCACACGCATGCGCTCTTTCAAAACATGTATTCGACAAAAAAGTTGATTGCTCTGCTTCTATTTTTAACTTGCCAAGACTTCAGTCAACCAAATTTTTTTTGAACGGGTTTTGAGTCATATTTTATTCAGCACTAAGAATAGAAAAAATTCTGAAAGTATGTGCTGTTTAGAATCGAAGGTTCTGTCATGCACCCGAATTTCCCGCACCATCACTGTGAAATACTCGGTTTTATTTCCTGGTGTGCGCCAGTACCAATTTACCATCGAAACAAATGAACTAATCACAGAGGGACTGGTTTTTCCGCTGGTGTAGTCGAACTTGCGACCGTGGCAGTAGCGTTACTTTTCGCTTCTGCGTTATGTCCATCAGCATCTTTGATATTGTTTTAAAAACTGGTAATAGTTAGCTGATGTTTATCCCTATGTCAAAATGTATTGTGTTAAAAGGTTATACTCATCCAGGACGCCGTCGATATTGGTACTACCCATGGGGACAAATTTTCGCATTTTGACAATGCTTTTGATTGTTTTCAGAGATGAAATTTGGCGAGCAGTTAGCAAGCCATCTAACACCGGAATGGCGGAAGCAGTATATCCGATATGAGGATCTGAAATCAATCCTGTACGAAATGATGGCCGATGTGCCGACGGATCCGGAAGCTCGTGAACAATATATCTCGCAGATGGACGAGAATTTTTTTGAAGAATGCGAACGAGAATTGACAAAAATTAATCTCTTCTATAGCCAAAAAATTGCAGAAGCTCAAGGGAAGTTCCATGAGTTGAATGCCGAATTGACCGCTTTCAAAGAGACTGTGGAAACACGAGAAATACAGACACCGAAGAGCAGCAGTGTGTTTCGGCAACGAATCAAGCGACAGAGCGTTTCCGTGAAACGTATCGCCAAAGAGCATGCAAAAACATCACAACAACTGAAACTCGCCTATTCGGAATTCTACCTGGCTTTGGTTCTACTCCAGAATTACCAGCAACTTAACGCAACAGGATTCCGGAAGATCCTGAAAAAACACGATAAGCTAACAGAGAACGAACGTGGCCTGAATTGGAGGATTGGCAAAGTGGAGAAGTCCTCGTTCTTTCTGAGTCGTGAAGTGGAGTCTTTGATCGCCAGCGTGGAGCAGAATGTTATAAACGAGTTGGAGGGGGGTAATCGGCAGGCCGGCATGAAACGCCTGAAAGTACCACCGTTGAGTGAGAAGCAGCATGCAATGACTACTTTCACGTTAGGCCTCTTCCTTGGCGCATTCGTGGTACTTGCGTTTGCAGTGCTTATATCCTGGTTTGCATCCTCGGCTCGTCCAAATGAGCCGAAGTGGGTCGCCGTACGCTTGTTCCGTGGACTTTTGCTGCTCTTCGTCGCCGTTTGGCTCTGTGGCCTAAATATGTACGGATGGGCAGAAGCTGGCGTCAATCATGTGCTCATTTTTGAGGTCGATCCACGAAATCATCTTACCTATCAAACAGTGATGCAGATCGCCTCGTTCATGTGCATGCTCTGGTCAATCGGTGTACTGGGTTACCTTTATGCGCATCTTATCTATCTGCCACCATTCCTGTTCCCGCTGTTGCTGATGCTCGTTTGTTTCATCTATTGCATAAATCCGTTCAAAAAGCCGGACAGCATTTTTCGGAGGAATAGCCGTTTCTGGTTCATCAAGCACTGCTTCAACTGCTTCACTGCTCCGCTACATTTCGTAACATTTACGGATTTCTGGCTTGGTGATCAAATGAATTCACTGATCACAAGCTTCCTTGATTTCCAGTATTTCATTTGTTTTTATGCAACTGAAGTGGACTATTCCGATTGGACCCTTACTGTTCGGACGGTAAATGTGACCGAGAACGAGCCAGTGCCTTGGGGTTACGTGGATATCAATACGGGTCGTGATATGTGCACCAGTGCGTCCGGTGTACGCGCTTTAGTATCCATCATTCCGGCAACGGTTCGTTTCATGCAGTGCTTACGGCGATTTCGCGATACGGGTCGTGCTCATCCGCATCTCATCAACGCCGGTAAATATTCCACAACCTATCTGGTCATCATTTTCAAATCTCTCAATCATTGGGCTGAAAAGAATGACCCAAATGTAACAAGTGTATTTTTCTACCTCTGGATCACATCCTACATTGTTAGCTTCACGTATACGTTTCTCTGGGATATTTTCATGGACTGGGGTCTTGTCGACCCAGTGGCACCCAAGGAGCTACCATTCCTACGCGAAGAAATTATTTATGGTAGCAAATGGTATTATTATGCAGCAATTGTGGAAGATTTTGTGTTACGTCTCTCTTGGGTTCTGAATGTATCACTGGGTGAAGCATGGACACTGGAATCCGACTTTCTGACTTGCATCACTGCACCTTTGGAAGTTTTCCGGCGTTTTATATGGAATTATTTTCGACTAGAAAATGAACATATCAATAACTGCGGTCAGTTCCGAGCAGTCCGCGATATTTCGGTGAAGCCGATCAAAAAGGGCGATTTGGAATCGTTGCTTTCGAAGATGGACAATGAAGACGGTGTGACTCACCGCGGCCAGGATCTCAGGATGCGTGCGAAAAAGCGCAAGAAAGCGGCGAAAAGTCGAAGGCAAATTTTATGGCGGCCACGTTTCACAAGAGTTGCCATTAGTTTGCTGCCCAATAGCTCATCAGCTACGTTGGCTGAAACAAAACACTGATGTTGTTTTCATTCACTGTTCATTTCGTGCCAGTGTTATCGGTATCCTAAATTATTCAAATGTCACACTGTCGGCTATTCAAAGCCAGCTTCGATCCTCACTTCCTGTGAACGCCTGGTGTGACCGGTTAAACACATTGCCAGGAGCAACCATTCGCTACTACAATGCTGTGGGTGACAGTATGACTTCTACATAAGTTTACCATCGAAACAAATCACAAAGGGCTTGGTTTTCCGAATCCCACTCAGGTCGGAAGGTAACCGTTTCCTGGCACTGTGTTAGCTATTTTATCATCCGGAGGGAATTTTTTTGCGCTACAACGAATTTGGTAACTTCTGTTTTATTTATTTCTTATCAGTGCATATTTTTAGATTTTTGAAATTGTTGGCGTCAGATAAGCTGTCTTTCAACATGCGTTTCCCCAGAGAAATTGAATTTCCCTCGTGTTTTGAGGTAGAA